GAAAAGATGACCTCATAAAGTACAAAAAGAGAAGATAAATAATTATCTTAATAAAACACACACAGTGCCATGAGCTCCACCCTTGGACAAAAGGAGACATACTCAAGACCTGCAGCTTGGAACATAAAGACTATAGATCAAGAAGTAACTGCATTCAAAAAATCTCTAAAGCAACTACAAAACCAGTGGGTTTTCAAGAACCCATCTTAATATATGATAAGTTTGTAGATATAACACCAGGGAAAATTTGAGGCAAGAAACTTATGGATAGTAATGAAGAATGGTAAGAAACTCAAAGGTTTTCAAGCCACAGAGAGATTATGATGTGAAAACAAAAGAATCAAAATCCAGTCAAGCAATTAAACAGCTATGCTGTAATCAGTTTCATAAGTCAAAGAAGACAACACTTGGCTTCAGGAAATAAGCATAAGTACTGACTTTAAACTCATTCAAAGAGGGATTCAAAAGTTTGTTTACTTTACACTGGTCTGTTTAATGATTCAACACATAGTACATCAAGTTGACTAATCACCAGGACAAAGGAGAAGTTGATAGTCAAGATTCATGAAATGGTTCAAAATCCAAAGTACAAAATGATTCAATTGATCATGTGAATTTTGTGAATCAATAAGTTTCAAGGCTGATTTCTATGAAAGATCAAACAATTTTTGATAGGGTACCTCAGTCTTGCCCACAGGATAGCAGTGACCTCCTTTACATGGTTTTGATCAGTCACTGGATGCAATTGGAATCAAACTTTTACCACAGGGATCCTATGTCAGAGGCACTGCTCAACTGGTCTCTGACAGCCAGAAGGTCCCTAAGACAGGTCAACACGTAGTTTGAAACAGTTCAAGAATGGCACATTGCTGGCCAAGGCTCAGAACAGCTCCAGTCACCATCACATTAAAAACAGGACTGAGACTGTTCAGACTAAGCTTTTGATATTGTCTCATCTAGGAACGTTGTAGAACTTAAAGCTCAACAAGAGCTTTACAGAGCTTAAAGAGGGATAATCTACTAATATAACTAACTAGTAGAAGTTGCCTAAGACTGCCTCTTTGAAAGAATCAACACGGGGTTTTGCTGAGTTCTTTGGGATAAGGCACCAGAGAAATTGTCTCAATACTTAATTCAAGTATTATTCCTGTGATTTTTAGAAATAAAGAAACCTCAACACTGCTATAGTGTTATTCCAATCTGAGCACAACAAAACACAATTTTAATTACTAGCAAAGCAAAATTCAGTTTGATTGTTATTCCAAATAAAGACTTATAGTCCTATCACACGTAAAGAAATCTCTCCTTTGATATAAAGGGGCAATTTAGTTAACTTAGTACCGCTAAAGTAATTTAATGATGATTAAAAACACTCTAACAAAAGTATAAGATGAGTAAAAAGGGGAACAAAGGCACGTAAATTCCCCAACAATATTATATAACCCTCTAACAATCTTCAACAATGGTCAACAGCCTTCAAAAACCTTCAAAAACCGTCAAAATCAACAGAAGTCCTCCAATGTAACCATATGATGTCATAAATATTATTGTTTGTAATAATTCAAGGCGTGAATTTGATCAATTGATGTTAATAAATGATGAACAGATCTTCTTATGATGAATACAGGTGATTTTTTCCTAATATTCATAGCTGAAATCCATTTTTGGAATTACAAAGTTTTTGTAAAGTTGTTCAATTTTGGATTACTATAGCTCATTTGATAGCCCTCGTGATACTGATCATTTATCACCCCCATATGACCTATTTCTGATGTGTGATGAATAGGTTATTGAGCTGTAAAGATTGAGAAAATAAGCTTTTGACATGTAAATGTTATATGTAACCACCAAATTTGAAATTCACTCCAGTTTCTTTGTTGCCTTATACATTTTTCACTAATCCTCCGTTACTAATGATTTAAAGGTTGTACATTATGGAACCAATGATTCTGTGTCGAATGAACTATCACAGACCCAATTCTGACAAGTTTTAACATATGTAATTAACTAAAAACCTCCATTTTTGATGAATTTTGACTATTTTCACGTCTAATAATGATTTTTCTTCTATCAAAAGATCATCCCACAGCATTCAAATCAATCATACAATCCTAAAATCACTCTGAAAAACCCTTGGCGCAATCAATCCATCAATGACATCACTACACAGGAATTAATACCATAGTACCCTTTTTTGAAATCCCCCTTTTCTTGAATAATTTCACACCTCCCTGATCAATCCTCCTGATTAAAGTTCCTGATGACTAATGGTATCCTTCTCTTTCATAATAAAACCTTTCTGAACCAATAACTCTTATAATAATAACCTAAAAAACCATTTTCCAGCCTTTCATACCCATATTTTCAAAATTTCCTTCAACTTTCCTAACATTGTTCTTCTTCTTTCATTCTTTTCATAACAGTTTCCATTCTCTAAGATCCAAACTAAATGTTCTTCTTCCTCAAATCCCTTCTTACTAATTCTTTTTAATTTGATTTCCACTCTTATACTATTTCTTTATTGATCTTTTTGAATTTTTCTTTACTCTTAAATGTTCTTATCAATTGCTTATGTAAATATATGATTTGAAAGATAATGAAATGAAGATTATAAATCAATGTTGATACACTTGATGACTAATAACTCCAACCATAAATTTGCCTTTGACTAAAAAATACAAATTTTCCCATAATTTTTAATTTTTTTGCTTAAGTAGAGATCTTGCTCACCACAATGTCCCTGGCACCATCCAAGGCCAAGGATGTTTACCCCATTGTGTAGATTTTTACACACACAGATTGTATTGTAGCAAGCACATGTGATCATCTACAGATCAAGGATTGATTGTTCACAGGAGCTGCTTATGTTGCTCTGTGCTTTATCCTTATTCTAATGGGTATTTAAACCCCTACGTTTTTCTTATGACTTTTATTCCTCATCCTTTACAATAACAATTGAATATACATAGCTTTACCAATAAACCAATCTGTCCATCTCAACCTTCAAAAGCCCTTACAAATCCTTTTTAAGACCTTTTACAGTAATTAGTATCCACAGGTCTGGTTTTTTATTGCTATTCTTCTCTTTGATTACCATTGTCAAGTGCTGTTCTACATATGTAAATTGTATGTAATCAACTTGCATTGAGTTATTTAACCCGTGTTCTGAGTGTATACCTTGTTCAATAAGCTTCCTTGTTGACAATTTGGGACTTGTGTCAGGGTATGTTTTGTGGCAATTATTTTTTGTGATTATTTCCCATAATAAGGGGTGTCAAGTTTGAGTCTTTATTGGTTCTTGCCATAAAGAACTTTCCCGCTGTAGCATGCATTTATCCATATTTCACAAAAATTTGAAAAGCTTTTATGTATCCCAGTTTTGTAAAACATACATAGGTTAGTTTATAACAGGTGATCAAAGAGCTCACGTTGACCACTTCACTCTTGGAAACAGGTGGAATTGATAGTGGATGCAAAGACAACCTTGCATCTTCTTACCAGCACTTTTTGTATCACTGGATGGATGAGTAAGGCAAAAAATTGAAAAAACATTGATTCTGGTATACCATTTATTATATGACCATGGAAATCCATGTTACAGGAAAATGATGTAAATATTAGGGGGTGTCAAGTTTGATTTTTTACAATAACTAAAACTAAAACACAAGAAAGTTTTTCCATTTTAACTCAAAAAAGCTTTCCCAAGTTTTATAATCACTTGTCAAACAAAATCCAGTTTCTTTTACTTTTTTGCCTTAATCATCCACCTGGTAATGAAGATACTACTGGCAAGAGGATGCATGGTTGTCCTTGTATCCACCATCAAGCCCACCGCTTTCCAAGGATATGTTCTAAAAAAACTGTAAAAAAAACTCAAACTTGACGCCCCTTGTTTGTGCTGTTAATTTTTTTGTCACAAAAATTGAAACTTGACACCCCCTGATTGCTCAGGTTATGGGCGCACTGATAATTTTGTAGGCGCGCCAAGGCAAGTTTTTTTGTAATTTTTCACGGCAAGGTGCCACGAGGCGCGCCGGGAGCATTTGCTTACAAAAAAAATTGCCAACAACCAAAATGTTGTTTTTACATTGTCATTTATTCTACGTTTGTATTGCTAGAGCTATCTACCACCACCAAATTACCTTTTGGAGGTGAGAAAAGCTAAAAAGAGCTGTCTTCAAAGCTCACAGCAAGGATCCAAGTCTCCAATATTGGTGACGGGACATAAGGGGTTCTCAAAGTAGGCCCGGTTTGTAAAAACCCGGTTGACCCAGTTGACTTTTTGGCTGTGATCTGTCAAAAAATGTCAACTCGATACACAAGGTTACTGCCAAAAAGCAACCGGGTCAACTGGGTTTTCTTGAAACCGGGCCAACTTTGAGAACCCCTATAGAACTTCAAAGATCTGGTGTGTTTTTTGAAAGGCACGCCGACCCCAATTTTGCTGATTTCTTTGACGCCCAGGCGCGCCAAAGCGCGTTTTTTGCGCCGCGCCCACAACCTGATCAACATAGCAATCGCCAACTTGACCAAATCCCTCCTCAAAAATCGCGCGCGTCCTACGGAGCTTGCGGAGGAGCGGGGCATGTCTCTGCAGTGGTGGGGCTTGTTTTAAGCTAGGCAACACCCGGCCGGCTTCCTTTCAGAGTTCTTCTTTGACGATTTCTGGAAGTTGACATTGACACGAGATGACAAGGTCAACTTACATAATTTAACTAACCAAAAGATATTTATACCACCTTTCAACTTCCATGGTGCTAACCTCAACACAGTCCCACACAGTCCCACACTGATAGGACTTTGTTGAGTTTACCATGGTGCGTTTCTAAATCTTCAATGCATTCAGTTGGATTGACCAACGCTTTTTGATGTGACATTATGGATTTAATCGTGAGATTCATTCCTTCAAGATTCACTTGAGCCTTGGAATATTCTTCCCAACAATACTTTTTGCCCTTTTTCACTCACCAGTGCACCACGATCACAATAACAAGAATATCATGCTCACTCTTACTGTCAAGTCAATCCTTCACCATACCTTCCTTTTTATATCTACTTATCTACTTATCAGTCAATCTCAATCTATTCAAGCTCAAGTTACTTCTCAGCAAATCACTGAGGTTCGATATGAATATGATTCTTTCAAACTCTCAGCCGGATACCCAGATGGTTTTGGAATTCCACTTAAACCTCAAGCTATACTCAACGTATTCTATCCCAATGGGAATATAAACCTCGGTCAACTATATAATAAATCGGGTACGAATTTGTAAACTTGATGAATTTAGAAGCCGTGCTCACTCCTGTCCGAATTTGTTATTTTTGGTCAACCTCAAATCACACCAGGTATGAATTTTTAATCTTGCAATTTTCTAGAAACCATACTCACTTCTCTCAAATCTGGTCAAATCCAATCTTCTTCGCTTTCAGATGTTTCCACCAAGCCTACCATCAGTGTCACTCCTATTGCCGCCGCTGTGGAAGGATTCAAAGCTCCCAATGCCTTTACACTCATCATGTCGGACGCCAATGCTCTTGGGTACCCTGACCCACAGTTCGTATCTTGATTCAAAGCTCGATTTCAATCTTCTCTTTTCATTACCTATATGGATAGAAGTTGATTTACAACTTAATTCACACTTCATTCAAACGTCTCACAGAGGAGGCTTTCGCCATTTTCTCGATAATGGTGTTACCTTTGGTGACCCTTCCCCGACCAGTACCTTGACCGTCAATGAAGCATCAGGAACCTTGATCACTTCCTATGTTGGACCCGCTCCACCTCTTAACTCAGGAGAACACCGTTATGCATGGCTCTTATTTGCTCAACCTGCGGGATTTCAAGCTCCTGCCAACTTATCATCCGTGAATTCTGGCCCAGGATACTGGGACTTGAAGTCATATGTTACCACAACTGGATTAGGCGACCTAGTGGCCGCGAGCTTCTTCACCGTCCAGTTCGTCTTCTCATCGCTTTGCTCATACCCTTTGTTCACCAAAATTCATGTTCAAAACTTTGCTCCCACGGGTTTAGAAATGGAAGTGCTACTGTTGCTTCCGCTACTGCTACCACCACCATCAACACTTCTACCGGATTAAGCTCTCCTGCAAACGTCGCAGCTATCACAGCTACAGATTCGCCTGATCCGAATTGTAACACTACGAGTTTTGCAATAGCTCAACATGTTAATTTGGTCACTTTGATAAAAAGTCTCGTTTTCACTGTTGGGATAGCTTGTATCAGTTTCTCTTTGGTTCAATGATTGATTTGCAAAACCCCGGAATAACTGGAAATCCATGATCGGCTGCAGTCCTCTCTAGCAATGATTCCCTACAATTTCAATAATGATTTCATTCCCATTTTATATCTCGGATTGTCTTTTGCAAAAAAATATGTACCACATCAAAATGTTGACCCAGTATCGCTTTCTGTTTGTGATCCTCATAGAAATTTTGGTTCATCTGTGTTCCCCATCCTTGGAACGAAATGAATGTTGTTTTCTACATAAGACTAATATCAATTGTAAAAAGATTTTGATACAATGTCACTTTATCCACCTGTCAAATTTGTTCCTTCTGAACTACAGAGTATCAAGGAAACATTGAGAATACATTGAGGTTAACAATGATCAACTGCCATTATCAATATATACCCAAATTTGGCAAACCCATGACATTTTTGTTTTGTTTTTGTAAGTGCTTTTGATATCACACAATTCACTAGCTATATTAGTGTGTTTTATGTAACTAATATACAGCTTCCATTATGTCTCATATTGTGAACCAGACTACCAAGCCTCCACGACAGTCTTCCATTATTTTAAAATGCAATTGCTGTGACATTACGCAGTATTTATATATAACAAATTTTGTTGTAGAAACATTGTGAAGATGTAATACTCAAAAAATAATGAAAAAAGGTATACAAAGCACTTCCATAACAAGCTAGGTGGTTTTATTTTTTTATCTTTCCAGGAGACTAAAATATAGAAAATGACTAAAAGTCTCTCTTGCCCAATCATGAACAACACTGTACAAACCCAAATGGTTTGAGTATTGGTATTTTGATAGATAAAGATGTTTGAAACTTTCTCTTAAAAGATAAATGTATAAGAATCCAATATTGAGTATAAAACCCCCTTTTATCTCTGTCTTCTTTGATTTCTGCCTTCTATCACTTCAATTTTGTTGGGTAATCAATGTCATTGGGTGGATAATCAAAGGCTTTGTCTGAAAGGCTCAATTTTTCCGTTGTGTTTTCTGAGACTTGTTTATTGTAACAAATACAAGAGTGGCAATGCACCCAACTATCTTCTTCCATAACTTGAGGACATTGGTTTGTGTTGTGGTCACCTGCACAATGTGCACATAAAGCTTGACATCCATACCAGTACTGTGTATGTCCTATTTTCCAGCATTTGTAACATTGTTGCAGTCACTGATGGTAATTGGTTCCTGTTATTTTCCAGCATTTGTAACATTGTTGCAGTCACTGATGGTAATTGGTTCCTGTAATTTCTATGCCTAAGTCAAATAAACCTCTACCTTTTTCTAGCTTCTCAGCCAATTTGTTTTCACAAAAATGAATCACCACTGAGCCCTGTTTCTGATTTGCCAAGACTGGATTGCCTAACCTTCTTGCCAATGCCACCAAAGAGCCGTCAATTCTGTTCTCATTCATTAATTTTGCTATATCAGGTGTAATTTCTGGTCTAAAACAAGTAGGAACTCCATGTAATAGGACCAAATGTATATTTGGAAGTTCTGTTAAATCCTTATCTATTGAATGATTCCATTGATGCTTATTTTGAGGAATAAACCTAGCTTCTACAACACTCATGCAGCAACTTGCTTAAAGTTACATTTCATCCAACTGACAACTAAACACCGTTACCCCTTTCATGCATCAGTAGTCCTTATTAATCTAAGTCAATAAGCTAAACACTTCAATGTTTTTATTGTATGTGTGAGAACAAACATTTTGAGAAAGGATTGATAAACACACTTAACACTTGATCATCTTGACAAAAAAAAATGATTAATTCTTGATGATGAAATTAATTCAATACTCTTAATTTGATGTAATTGAATTGCCTTTGATATTATTGAAGAGATGAAGAGATGAGGATGAAAATTGAAGGGTTGAATTGATGAAGGGCATATCAATCAATTTTGAAGGTGATGAAGAGATGAAAGAAAGGAGATGTGTGGGCCAGTTTTGGGCAAGGGAGAGATTGATTTGGATTGGTAGCTTCAGTAGATTGTTCAGATACCAACTTGGTAGAGGTCCAGTAAATCTTGGACCTCTACCATTTTGTTTTTATGATCTGTAGGTACCAATAAGTACTTTTTGGATGTTTGGGGACTTTGAGGCTTGGTATAGTAAAATCTACTGTACCACGGCCATCTACAGACACATTAGTAGATGCTCTCAAATTTTCTTGTTTATTCTTTCCCCTTAGGTGGGTGGGAGGGTGATAACAAAGGATTTTATTTCTTAGACTTAAAGGTGATTTGGATTTTGAATAAGTTTGATAAGGAAGTGGTGAGTTGGCTTGCAGGTGAAAAACTGTGAGTTGGAATTCTGGATTTTGAATTCCAAATTCCAACTCATGTAGTACAAGGTACTGTGAGTGCATATGACTACACATATATTTCACCTCTGCTATTTCTCTGTAGGCCTACAAACAACAGTGTGCCTTTTGGTTCCCTCAAGGAAAGTCGAAATCAGTCAAAGATCTACCAGTTTGTGCTTCCTTGAGACCACTCAATATTTTGTATTGCAGGTTGGTCTTGTTCTGTGTGTACTCCAGTATGAAGTGGCTGGGGTGGGTTTCTTGATTAAGCACAGAGTCAACCAATATATTTGCCTTGCAAGATCATCTATGTTACTAGATGATGTAGTTTACATTTCAAAGGCCAGTTTAAAGGTATCAAGCTTATGAAGAGAATCATTGCCCATGATTAAGTGGGTTTTTGAGATGCCTAGAAGGAAGGATGGCATTGTGTATTTTGCTACTGAAGAGGGTGTCAACAGGAAGTTAGGGAGCTACTTGAACTTGAATGGAATCTAAAAACCATGCATTGAACAGATAAGACACCATATTGTGCAAGTGTTCTAAGCAGTGTACAAGATGAAATTCAGAAGATTTCATTGGAAAATCACCTAAACAGAGCACCTGTGTTGTCATACAAATGTGAAAGACAGACTCAATATTAGGTTTGGACTATATAATTACACACAACCTTCAGGTATCTAATTCAAAGTCTCAAACATGAACTCAAACTCTTCCAATGTTTCCACATATCTAGTTTCATGCAATCCTGTAGTGAGAAGGATTTAAATTCCTAAACTACCTCAAGTAAGTACAATTCCTGTTTACCAATGGGTGCTTGATCACCCAAGGTCAATACAAATTCTAGGTTGTTGAGATGCAGAGGAACAATTCTCGACTTAGTCAACTTAAGAAGGTGTCCAAGATCAAGCAGCTGATTGGAAAACAACATATATAGCAGTTAAACTTGCACATTTAATGAACCAATTCTAGTAAAATAAACTTGGCCAAGTCATCAATCAGGCTTTTGCCATTTTCTTCAACATCAGTAACAAGATAATCCAATATGCTTGTAGGAACAGAATAATCTTTGGAGAGATGAATGAGGTTCCACATGAACACAAAGATAGCTATGGACAATGATCAATACATTGTCATGCCCACCCCAAATTCATCAATGCACCTCACAATGGGGTGTGCAAAGGGTCAGGACTTCTGTTGCAGTGTTTCAACTGACTTCTACAAACATATTTACAATTTGACTGGCTCTTGCTGCAACCCCATTACAAACTCAAAAGTGCCAGCCCAGAGAAAGCATGTTCTGCCCTCCAGGTGTCAAGTGTATTGACAACCCATGGCTTCACTCAGATACCATACGGAGTCTAGGATTGATTGGTGACCAAAAGGGTGCCTGCTGGTGTATTCCTGACAGAGTCCTATCATGCCCTTTGCCACACTCTAAGTCCCAGAAGTAAGGCCAGGTATGAGGACAAATGTATTTTGAAAAGCAGGTGTTGAATATAGAACAGGACCAATCCAAAATTGCACCCCCAAGCATTCAAGAACATCACTCACCAATTGGTTTTGAGACAAAGGGATAGAATTCTTTACTGATCTTGTACATACGATGTCCAACAGAGAATGAAGATATTGTCCATCTTCCAATCATAAATCACAGCTCATCATGCTTTAAAGAAGGAGGGAAACTTCCTTCTGGGTCATCAGGATTGATATCTTTCCACGGAGGAAAATCTTGAGGTAAGTTTTCGGGAAGCAGGTCTGGTCGTTGAGTCTCGATGATACTCATCAATTCTAACGGGGTGCATAAAGGAGATAGATAGATTCATCAGATGATTGGTCTTGTTTGCGTTAGGCTTGAAATTGCCAAACAAACTATTTGATATTATCTCGTATCCTGCCGGAGTTAAATGAAGACCATCACAGAGGTAATCAGCCAGACCATGTTCAGATCTTTCGGCTGCGTTCGTGAGCGCGGTCCAGGTGTCCAAGACAGGCAGGCCTTCTTCAGCCGCGAGATTCTTGACATGATCGGCAAAAGAGGCCGTACGGTCAACATCACGGTCCATGTCTGCGGGTGTCCAATCTGGGAATCGACTGGCCAAGTCAGCGGCTCGTAAGGAGACTGAGATCGGAGGCGGTGTGATGAGGATAATCTGTGTTGGAGGTCCAGGAGCGGTTGCGATGTCATGGTCACGAAATATCTTGATTAGTTGTTTGAGATTAGCAGTGTATTGTTGCGCTTCCACGTGTTGAGGTCGATTTTGAAGCACAGCGTCGTTAGCACCGAGCCAAATGGTCTGGTTAAAGGAATAGAAAAGCACGAAGAGTCTATGTCAAGCATTGTAATCAAAAAGCATCGACTAGAATCATCGACTAGATCGGCACTTAACTACCAGCTTTTTCTTAGCGAAAACACGTCCACTAGATTCTTGACAGGGATAAAGCTGTTTTCGAAGTTGAGGTACAACTTCGTCAGTCAACCTAACCTCTGTTAAAGTGCGATAGTCGTGACTCCACCCTTTTAGCCACTTGAAGCGCCCAGATAGCTTTCACCCGATGTCCGATTAGTGTATTGCATCGGGAGATATATACGAGATGTAAGAGACGCACTATTATAGCCAGAGTATCCACGGTTCACAACATCCCTAAAAATCAATCAGCCTTTCAGCAAAGCTTCGGAAACGTAAGTAAGTTTAGAAAAAAGCTCACAGTTTACGCTGATACTGATTAGCCAAGAATGAACCTGTTCCACCAGCCTGCCAAGCCTGTTGTGTGATACTATCTCCAAACATCACCAACTCGTCCATCACGATAGGCTTTGCTTGAGTCTGATGCAGGGTTGAAGATCGCATGTTCAGGAGTAAGCAACCGACGGAAGGGATGAATGGGAGCAGCTGCTGTACTTTATTGTTCACCATTCCGGATTGGGGTCCTCACAGCGCCTTTCAACTGATCTGAAGTGTCCTTGACGTTTGTTGGGAATCGAGATAGAGCAGTGTCGATCTTTGTCGCGGCCGCATCGTCATACTTCCATGAAGGGGCCGGGTACTTCATGACCGGATATCCGATCGCCGAGTTTGCAGCTTATATGTCGGATTCAGATTTGCTGTGCCATTCCAAGAATGGTTGATTGCAAATTTAAAACATTCATCAGCACAGCAGATAAAAAGACCGTAACTTTTTCTGTAAGTTTTCTCGAGAATCAAATGAATCCCACCTGATGTGTGTGTTGACCACGGAGTGGCTTATATGTCAAATCCATTACTAAATGATGAGAAAAGGATGTTCTCGCCGCTAGCCATGAAAGCTGAATAACAATCATAAAGTATGTAGCAAGTGTATTGCAAAGGATCTACTAGTACAGGTGCATGACCCTCATTGGAGGATTACCTTCCTTCAATATTGCTTCATGCTTTGTGAAAAGAAAAAACTAAAAAAAGTATGAGTTTTGCACGGGAGAGAATTCTCAAATGTCCCCTGGAGGCTGCTCACGAATTGTTGGAGATAATCTCCTTTATGAGGGACCTGACTCTCAGCCCCTGGCAGGGGAGCATTCAAGGATGGTTGGAAATGGACAAAAGTGGGTGAAAATGTCTTTGGGCAAAATGGTGACAGCCTGTACAAACCCCCTACTGGCTGCAAGTATAATTCAATACGGATAGCCACTCACAGTTGTTGACCATCATGTTTGAGCTTCTTTGTATGTACTTGCAGGGAGAGAAGGCATATATAAGAACTTTGGCCAATGCAATGGCCCAGGAGAAGCGGTGAGAGAGGGTAACATGAGAAAAATTTGCTGAAGAGCTATGATACTGAGGTGTTAGATCATTAGCTCATAAATCATGACCAACCAACAAGCCTTCTTGTTTGTTTGTTTGTTCTTGTTTTTTCTCATTATCTATGATTTCAATCAGATGAGATCACTAATTTTGATATAACCTTAATGACTCTTGTTGATCTGGTACTCCAATTGCATTTGATCACCAACTTTGTTATGCTTGTTCAATATTTATTGCTATTTGATAACAACATCAATCACTTGGCTATTGCTTTTGAATATCTTCTTTTTGATCTAACAATACAAATTTTCTGTCATAGACATGAGGGAACCTATTCCACATAGTCCAAATCAAAGCAAAACATCCCAAGATAGTCCAGATCCCATGTGGTTTTGTCTGATCAGTGTATTGATTGAGGTGTGGTGACGACGGGACTAGGAATCTCACTAGTCCTTGTCCCACCTCGAAAAGCTCCCCGAAAGAGCAGGAGATTTCACAAGAGTGAAACTCTCCGCGTCAAGACTCTGCAAATCTACCTAACGTTGTGTAGGTTTGATTTGCCCTGGAGAATGACCGTTCAGGCACGGTCCTGAGGAGATCTAGTCATCCCTTGTTCCATCAGCCGCTGTTGATGTGCTTCAGGAACTATCTCCTTCTCCCACGCTTCCCTCCAGTCTCTTTCTCACGACAGTTTCTCATCTAGGAGCTTTTCTTTTCGCGGTTCACGAACCTTTTTCGAACCCACATGTCTCTGACATTCCCTCCCGCCCAGGTTCGAAGGGTTTCACCTCCCCGCTCTCATGTGTGCTACTCGACACGGAAGCTAGAGTTGGAAAACTTTTTAGTTTCCTCCAGCCTCGTGTCGAGTACGAGGTTCTTCTCCCGTAGCAAGCTACTGTAAGGGTTGTAAACCCTTCACTAGATTCACACAAGGAGGACGCCGTGGAACACACAGCGGGACAGGTTTCTAGAACCCGTGAGACTTTTAATTACAAAATCTATCAAAACTCAGTACTAAGACTGGTTCCAAAGGATAAGGGTATGGAAGTCAGTCCCAAATCGCTGCAACAATATATAAGCCATAGAATAAGAAATGAATAGAAATGAAATGAATATACGCTTACCTGGTTCCAAAGGATAAGGGTATGGAAGTCAGTCCCAAATCGCTAAGGAACCAAGCGTAGAGTTTGAAAACAAAAGATATATATAAAGAGTACTTTTAAGTCTAAGTGTTAATAATTAGATGTTGTTGAGTTAAGTATATGTAATGACCATAGGTCTTACAGCTACCCTCACCCTCGAGCTACCTCGAGGGCAAGTGTATCTAATGCGCATATACCTAGCATACTTGAGAAGACGTGTCGAAGACACTCCTTCCTGACCATTCTCTCCTTCCACACAGCTGGGAGAGGAATAGGACAAGGATTGCCTGAAACAATTATATATATTAACATGGATGGTATGAATAATCACAAATTAAGCAAATTATAGGTATAAAGCAAGGGCCTCATTTGTTGGAAAATGTTCATGTTTGGCATACTGCGTACAAGGTGACCAATAATTGATCTGTATGACTCACAGGCACATCTACGTGTTCTGCATGGGCAAGGTTAGTACATGTCATAGGTCATGTTTCCTTTTTTTACACTCATCTTTACAAGCAAGAAGAGAAACCTAGAGCAGCCTTCACTGCCACCAGATGTTGAACCAAATACTTCCAATATTCATTGATATAAGTACCCAAAACTGTTATAAACCCTTACCAATCTCCTCAACTAGTCCACATGTTGTGGATTACCGTGATCTTTCTGGTTAATGCCTGTGTCAAACAAAAAGACAAAGAAAAAAGCAGACAGAGAAACATTTGAGAAAAAGATTACAAAAGAAATATACACACCTTGAGCTCATCTATCACAGATGTGTGTAAGGATAGGTACAGATAGTTTTCTTCTTCAGCAGCCCACTTCCATCCAAAGATCTTGGACTCTGATTGAGCATATCTGAATGCTTGCTGGAGTGACAGATCCTCAATTTGTGACAACAGTATTGCATGATGTACCTGCCACATGGGAAGTAATAGATTTGAAACTTCAGTTTCCTCCTATTTAGATCTTTTGAGAGTGCTTTCCTGGGAAATGGAAAGAGGGTGTTTGTGAATGGCTGCAATGGCTAAAGCTTGATTGACACATCCATGGCCAGACATTCCTGTTTCATTTGTGATGAACCATCATGGTGGACCTTAAGGTTGGAGTTGGAAGTTAATGAAATCCATGACCTCTTCTTACACCATAAAAATTTGTAAGAAACAGGTTTCATTGATTTGTCCTATAGAAGAAACTACAGGAATCAGAGATTCCTGATCAGATCACAAACAACGTAAGTATCAGTCAATATATCTATGAGAAGCAAAAGGATCCGGAGAGATGATTGGCATGAAAGTGGAGTTGTTTGATGAAGAAGTTTTCAATAAAGATGTGTTTCTTTCATCCAATATTGCTGATAGCATGAAGAGAAAAAGAAACAACTACAATGAATAAATCATACCTGATCAGATCACAAACAACATAAGTATCAGTAAATATATCTATGAGGAGCCAAAGGATCCGGAGAGATGATTGGGATGAAAGTGGAGTTGTTTGATGAAGAAGTTTTCAATAAAAATGAAGAACAGAAAACTTCCACAGATCAGGATTTGATAAGCTTAGTTCAGCAATACATTGTGTGGTTAGGTTAGACTAGACAAAAGGTGTGAGTAAAACCCTGGAACAAAATACATAACACTGTAATAAGATGAAAGCGCATAACAAGAGAAAGAAATATAGATAAGTAAATGAAATTAAAATGTAATATGATGGTTTGGTTCCAACAGAAACAATCTTATAAATCATCATCAGTACAAGTCAAAAAGAGCCTATAAACATCATGAATGAGAAACAAGAAGCTCTCATCTTCTTTCTTGTGATATGCTGGACCCAATGGCAAAGACAAAGTTGATTTTGCATACAGAACACATGCCTCAGAATCTTGCTGGTGCACTCAGTTGTATTCCTTGTCAGAACCTTGAGTGAGATACACATTGGTGCACATGAAACAGAAGGTATGAGAAAAAAAGAAGTGAGAAACAATTCTTAGAAATGGATGATACAATACTGAAGTTGAAGCAAGAGAATTACAGGTGGTTCTGGATCTCTGTCTTGAGTCACTTTTTGTGTTTTATTCTTCTTCTTGTTGGTATCTTCAGCTTCATATTCATATTCATCTTCTGATGCATCATTTTGGTGTTTGTTCTTACTAGCAATGAAGAATAAGAGGGAGACTTTTTGCAACTAATGAAAGAACAGCAATCTTGAGGTGTGGGAATCATAGAGGGGTTTTGCATTAGGGTTATGATGTGATTAGATCTATGTGCTGGTGGTGGACCAGGATCTTTGCTTTGTGAGCTCCTCTGAAGAGGGATTGCCATGCCCAAGTGATGATTGTATTTTGGACTTGGGGTGAAAAAGAAAAAATCTTTCAACACAAAGCAGGCAAAAGATAGCTCACTGTAAACCAATCACAGGTTGAGCATGCACATGATGGGGTGGAAGGGTTTCCTGTCTGATCATCTCATCATGTATCCTATCAGTTGCATACACAGGATTACATCAGGATCTTCACCCTCAGGAGGTGAAGGGCAGTGCCACACTAACAAAGAATAACAGGCTAACATCCAATCTGAACAGCTGTAGCATAGATATATATATCCAGCTAACACTACAAACATAGTGAGGCCACATTAACAAAACTCAAAAGTGCTGGTTGTGTAGATCACCACATTTAACAGGAAGTGTTGGTGTAGGTAGATATGTGAAAATACTACACTACATTCAAACCCACACAATTGCATAATTTGGGGGGAACATCTGTCTATGCAATTTCACGGTTTATACAAAGTGAGGTAAAATACAGGATAGGTCAAAATGCATAAAGTTATGCATAAATGCGGAAATAGACCAAATACATAGCATTGTGCATTTTCACGGGCTAGGGTTAGGATTGAAGACCCAGGGCTAAACGTTTATGTATACTTAAGTGCATTCTTATCCTGTATTTGGGCTAAAAGCTATGCAGTTAGGCTTTTAGAGCATCCACAGTGGTGGGCTCCAAATCGGGGCTCCAAATCGAGCGAATGCAAATTTGGTGGGGCCCCAATTCAATCCGGATGCAGTTGTTTGGACTTCAAAAGTGTAGATTCTATGTGTTTACACACACTTTGAGATTGGTGCGTGTGGGCTTGCATGTGTGAGGTATGGGATTGAGCAAGTGCGGGAATTTGGAGCCCGGCTTTTTGTTGCCAAATTTGTAGCCCAAAGCTCGAAATTTGAAGCCGGCTACAAAAAGATTTGGCGATGGGGACTGCCATGGCACCAAAAAATCGGGGCTCAGTCACCAAATTTGGCAATAGCCCCGATTTGGAGCCCATCACTGTGGACTTAAGACCTGTTTTTTTTGAATTTTGAACTATGCATTATCATTTTTGACAAAATTATGCAATAAACTCACCTTTAATCCTGCACCAAGTTGGGGAAAGTCCTGGTCTATGCAAAATGGCAGCTTATGCAGTTGTGTGGGTATGCAATTGCACAGGTTTGACTGTATCAGTTTCACCAACACTTTGTTAGCAAAATTGATCCAGCATTGCTTCTCCCTTCATCCAAGTCCTTCTTATTCATTCTTGGGTGAAGGCAAGCATTTGACTTGTGGGATTGTGTTTGGATTCAAGGTTCATTTTTCAAATTGAAACCAATCCTGCTCTGACAGAATTGTGAGAAAAAAAATTCATCTATTTGTGAAAATCTTTGGAGCAAAGGAAACCTTCTTTGTTTGCTTCTTTGAGGCACTTGGAACTACTGATAAAAAACAAGGAACTTAAGGAATCCTCCCTCTGTGGGCTCTTGAAGTTTCAGGTTTTGGTGTAATTTTTGTGACAGACTGTAGCAGACTGTAGCACAACTATGGGGATTTTATTTGAAAGAAACTTACATTTGTTATGTCATGCTGGTAGCATCCTCCATCTAGAAAATACACAGCAGAATGCCATGTCTAATGTCAAGGGGTGATAAGAGGACATATGTACCTGCTGTCGCTGTCAAACTATTATGTGGTCAATCTTTGATCTTTGCCTCAAGTCTCTGATTCAACTACCTCTCACTCATCTCTCACTCACCAAGAGGAATTCCAACACAAAGCAAATCACTGTTGAGCCATATGTGTTGTTCCTTCAGGCATTTGACCAAAGATACAGCTTCCAGAAATCAGTGGGGGTGTTGGTTGAAATCCATCAGGTTCTGTTGGGCAGGCATTTGGATGTATGCAGATAGCAATGTGAATTGGAAATACAGTAAGATATTTTGTAAGATGGCTGTTTTTTTTAGACAGAAGACAAAGTAAATACAGTGGGGAATTACACCAAAACCTGAAACTTCAGGAGCCCACAGAGGGACGGTTCCTCGGATTCTTTGATTTTTTATTGATAGTTTGAAGGGCCTCAGGGAGGCCAAAAAAGTTTCTCTTTGGTCCAAGGATTTTCACAAATAGATGAAAAACATTTGTAAGGACGCCATTTTTGACCAGCCAAAATGCAATCCACCAGCCAAAATCTGCATTGCGGTCATAAGTCCATCGCTGCAGCTCGCTGCACTCGAAGTGTGCGAGAGTCAACGTGGGACTTTGTTGAGTCTAAATGTATCAATACTTCCAACGAAGTTCATGCTAGTCCATGTCGTCATAACTTGATGACAGTTTAGGACAGTTTCTAAGCAGAATGTATGCTTCTGGCGCCATGGAAGCCTACTGAAGCTTCTTCCGAGAGGCTGCTCGGGGATCTTTGGTCTGTTCAAGCTACATATTTACTTTCTTGGACGCGAGATAGTTGATTGAACTTGATCAAACGAGACAAGTTTTTGGCGAGCTCGTTTGCGACGTATGCAACTCTCTCTGCCCTTGAGGGCATAGGTCCACAACTCGCAGAAGACTGAGGCTTTTCTTGAAGTCTTAAGCATCCAAGAGCTCACGTGTTCGCATCGATTCGCATGTCTTGTGCACTGTTGGGTTGTTCTTGGTAGAGATCATCCACACACCGGTGCATTCACAAGCGATCGAGAGGTATGCAAAAGTCAGTCTCAAGACACCACCTGACACGACCTTCATGAACTGTAATACATAGGCTGTGATAGGTTTGTGTCTGATGTGAAGAAACGTAAAACTTCCGCTTTTCTACATATCTATGGAGGAGGAGAGCTCTAAGAGAGACCTGTTTTTAGACTCAAGTTTGTTGTATTTCCTTCTGTGCCGTTTCTCTTTCTTTCCATTGAGTCTCACAAAGAAGGCGTCAAATGTCTGAGACAAGATTATCTATGTAGACTTGTCACTTCACCATGGAACTTGCCTCTTTGACTCTGATTAGCTCACCATCACACTCTCACACCTGGCCACCACACTTAGTCATCATGCCACAGGCCAACCGACAATAGCCGACAATCCACGCCCATTGAGCAAAGTCAATCAAGCAGCTGTGACACACAGTAGCGCACAGTCTCCCATACATTCTTAAACACCTTTCTTTTTGAAGTGCTCTTTGATTCTTTCGAGAGAGGTGCTCAGAGTCAAGTCGTCCGCAAGGTTGATGCTTCATTTCCTTCCACTTTGCAAGCTGATTCATCGCGATATAATCGACAACTTCTCACGAGATCAGTTCGACATCCGTAACACCGCCACTGAATCCTCTAGCCTCAAACGAGAACTTTCACCTCTGGCACTTCCCGGCCGAATACCAAAGCTTGGATACCCGCGAATTGTCCTGCACGTAACTCAGTGACCTCAAAAGAGGGAAAGATTTTTGAAGGTGGGGAGGACCCCTGCACAAACACAGTGTTTATGACATATGCTGATGGAGTTGCAGATCTTGGCTTTAATTGTGGGCTTGACAGTTCCACTCGTATAAATATACCTGGACTTTGGTTTGCTTCTCCCAGTCTTTATAGTCCGTAGACCTTAAATCGTGAGTCCATTGCATCTGAGCAATTCCCACGTTTCTTTCATTGTGTCTCGGGCAACAAGGCGCAAAGGAATCAACACATTTCCCTCTCAGTCAAAAATCCCACATTGCTGTTGCATTCAAATTACCCATCGTAATCGTTCTCATCGATACTCTTTCACTCATTCATTGTGTTTCTATCTGTTTCTATTATCTCTAGGACGCTAAACTCTCAGTGGTTGATATCTGCGAGCCCGCGTGCAAGCCAAGATCATGAACTCGAAAGCTTCTCAGCGACCACATTCTTTATATGTCTCCTCACATTTCCCGCCTTCTTACCTGAGAGACATGACACCCTCGTCACCAGGCCTGCGTGGAAGGATCGGGGAACGTCGCACCCTTCACCATGAGACCGATCACACCGTAGACGAGTTTCGAAGCAAGCCGACCTTGAAATTGCTGATAGGCTCTTCGCAAGAAAGTGGTCCCAACGCGGCTCGCTCGAATTTTGACCCTACTCACCCTAGAGTCAATAGTGCATCCAATCTTTCTCCGTTTGCTCCCAACTCACCTAGTCATTTACCAACAACTTTGTTAAATCAGCATACTTCATCTACTTCATTAGTATCATATCCAGACCTACCTTCCCCTTGTTTTTCAATCAGATCAGATCGTCTTGAGAAGTCTCACCACAACATGCACAATATGCGCACTACCCACCGCCGTTCCGTCCATCCTGGATTCGATAGTCCAGCACATCCTGCCTTTGCTGCACCTCGTCCACGCCCTCGACCAAAGGGCAACACGCCAGCTGCACGTCCATACTCCTCTATCACCTTGGGAGGACGTCCTTTATCATCAGCATTTGGCGACGACACCCGTATCGTCACGGGTTTTTTAGCGTCAGCGCTTCCTCTCAGCGCCCGCCCGCCACCATTGCCAACTCGTCCTACACAGACCATGACGATTGATCAGTTGGAGCAACGTCATCGCCTCGCCCTTCAACGCTTGCAGGAGCCTGCTAATGCACACGCCGCTCGTAATCTTGGTAGCAATAACGCATCTCCTTTGTCCTCCCAGATCTCGTCTTCCAGAAACACATCACCACCTGTCTCAGCACATCGGACCAACCGCCGCGAAAAACCGCGTACCCTTATAGTGCTCGATAAAGATCAAGGTCAGATCGGCTCCGAGACTTCTGCTTCCAATGACGCTTCCAAGGAGAACAAGAAGCCAAAGCGATGGGCCTTTTTGCGATTTTTTGGCACGAGGGATGTTACTCCTCACTCGCCTCCTCCACCCGGAAGTAAGGCGTCAAAGAAGGATAAGTCAACAAAGGCAAGGCAATCGGACGGTAGCGAAAGCCACATACCCGTCCTTATACTATCGGGCGAATCTGGTTCTGAGGAGGCTGGAAGGCATCTCGACTCTGATTCCGATTCTGATGTTCCTCTGGCTCAGTTAAGACTTCGCCCACGACTACATAACAAATCATCCATGGCCACTGTCTGTACTTCATCCTCTAGTGTAAATTTACAACGAACCCCGAGGTATACACGTAGTCAGGTGAACATGTCACAATTTGGACATGCGCCTCTATCGGCCCCATCCTCGGGCTCGCATAGGCTCAGTATGCTATCAAGCGGCCCAGCAAATCATCACGAATCGATGGCTAAGAATCGCAACAGCATGTTGGTCCCTCCAGTTGGACATGGTACTTCAGCAATGTCATTACAGAAGCAGCTCAACAGATCATCAGCGTGGTTGACTTACTGAACGGACTTCAGTCTCTGTAGCATGGATACCAAAATTTCATGTAAGTTTATGTGATATAGTTAGACTTCTGATATACCCATTCAATGATCCTTCTTGTACTGATGCATTTCTTCTTTTCTTTACGTCTTTATCACCCAATTTTCTTTCAGTCAACTTACTATCTTAGACTACCACTGTCATAGCACGAATTAATCACCTTTGAAATTTAAATATATCATTCGATCATCGTCTTACTCTTAATTCCTCTGATTCTTGATTGCTTTACAATCTCGTCAACTCTTTTTGATCTTCATTGAGGATTGTCTCAGTAGTCGAATTTTTGCATATCTCATCTTGGTCTTCTATTCTCATCGTTAATCTTGCACGTAATAGGAGTATAGATAGTTTTTTTCTATTCTCAACAAATATTGCTCAAGTCAATGGTTTCTTTCAGAGTTTCGTTTTAGGTCTGATCTTACATGGGGGTTCAAACCCAGAATAGTAGTAGCAAATCTTGGTTTCAATCATTGTGATTTACTTACGGCGAAAAATTAAAGACCGCCGCTCATCTAAACTGAGATAGAATTGTAAAGTTTTTTGATGCTTGATAGTGTAGAAAGAGCATCAGCTTTCCCAAACCTACTAGAGCCCAATTGCTGAGCTTAAAGTCAAGCTTGCACCTGTTTGTGGAACATAAGAAGCGAAGACAGCCAAGCTTCATATTTCGGCGCATTTTATCATCTGCGACTTCCAGAGCACATTCACACATTTCACATGGAGATTCTAACTACAAGACAAATAGAAATGCAAAGAATGACTTGTATAGAATCAGATGATGTATCGTTCTTTCATATCATTTTGATTGTATAGTAGGAAGTCTCCTTTTTGAGTGCTACATACTTGATCAATTGTTTTAACAGACTGATGCATTTGTGAATAAAAATCTTGGAGTAACAAAATGCGATGCTGTTCTCCTTGATGTTTTGGTTGATTTGCAAAAGGCTGAGTATGAGTCGACTCGCTTCTTGATTGCTGTTTACCCCATCATCTTGGCTCAGCCTCCATATGACTTTTTACCGCTTCTGAGAGTACAAATTCAATATATATTATGATCTGTGCCTGAGACAAAGCCCAAAGCTTAACTAAGCCGAGCAACTTCATTTATCGTAGCCACCTTTCCAATTCTTGAGACGTTGGAGATCGCCAGAGACTATATATGTACGTCACCATGGCGTGTCCAGCAATAATGAAACGTCCTCATTGATTAAGCATATTTTGGAATCTCCCTCGGGGTCATGAGTCACCTTGAGGAGACCTCATTAATATATTGACGCGTTGATCTTGGTGTCTTCATTTGACCTTTTGATATTTATCTCCACCACCTGGTGATGATACTGATGAGCCTAACTTATTGGTAGAGGTGCGGAGGGATATGCACATTCAGCTTAGTTAATCATCAGTAATGGTAAAAAAGAATAAATACTCAGCTCTTCATTTCGACTTTACTCAACTTGCCCAGATTCATTCAATTCCTTATCTTCTTCAGACCACACAAAAACATTCTTTATTATTATCTTCATCACATCGGTAGACACCATCTACAATCACCTTTCTTTTTTTTGTTTACTTTAATTTTTGATCCACTTTCCAGACCAAAACATAAAATCACCTTCATGTTAACCTCAAGCTTCCTCCCCGGAGTTCTGACCTTTTTGGTGTACATCTTGACCATCAATGCCGCCGTGCTTCAACGACGTGCATTCACATTGAAGAGTTACCCCGACTTCCAGGTAGGCAGACTTTACGTGATATCCTTGAATTTAACTTTCAGATTCCTAATCATGACCTTTTCCTTATCAGATATCGACCGGTACCGCTGGAAAGGCTCAAGCAGCAGCAAATGCGGTGTAAGTTATCAGCCCGTCTTCATACCCAAAAACGACACGAAGCAATCACTACAAGCTTTCGCAAGCTCTGGCAGAGTTTATTGATCGTCTTTCAACCAAGCTTATCTAATTCTCACATCACCTTCTTTCATCATTCAGATTTGTAGATCCATTCAAGGGCGTCAATCTCGCGACTGCGAGTAGTACAGATTTGGCCAATGTAAACACCATGGCCAAAGCAGCTGTTGATGCAGAAGAAGACTTCAATAGTGCCATTGCGGTACGTGATCATGACTTTCATTCAAAATACGAAGAAAATCATTATATATACTGAAGAGGCAAAACAAAAACCTTTCAAGGCTACGTCGGATAGTGCAACTAAAGCTGCATTGAATGCTGGTAAAACTGTTAATAAAGTCTTGAAACTCACTGGTCAGTTGATTCTTTGTTCATCCTTCACTAAAACATTACATATCCTCAGGTAGAACACACCTTACAACTCGGGTTTATGTGACTGAATTGTTTCTGACGTGATTTCATTTGTGCGTTTCGATGGCAGGTGAGGTCCAAGTTTTAAACGTGAGCATTTTCCTTCCTTGAAGAATAAAATCGTGCTTAATTGTCCCTAAGGTTCACTCAAACCTCATATCTGATTGCTGGATTGAATTTGATTTGATCATTTATAGATTCAAGCTGCTCAAGGAAAGAACGTTGCAGCAAAATTAAAAACCGAACAAGCCAAGTAAACTCTCAATCTTTATTTTTACAAAAAACCAAAGCTCATGATACTAAAACTAACTTGAGAAATCATTATAGGTTAACTGAAAATTTAAAGAAGGATGCTGCTCAAGTTGGAGTCAAAATGCAATCCTTTTTAGATTGATTTCCATGGATTTTCAATCTCTTGTGGTTCTTTCTTCTTTCTTTGTAAACTTTTTTCAAGCTTTCAAATCACAAGGTTGCCGGTTCACAATCATTTATTGTTATCAAGTTTGATAATGTAGTGTTATCTTACCAATTTTAAACAATTATATAAAGTATCTCATTTTGCAACAAACGTCAGTTTCCGCTATGATAAACCGTAAGAGCCCGATGGTCTATGCTGTTTCAAATCTCTAAGATCGAGCATAAACCTTTGACCCCCAAACCACGCATGCATCACAAAGATATAATGTCCCACAAAGACAAGCTCAAAGAATTTCATAAAAATACCTTTCCCAGCATCTACCAAAAAAAAGAAATAAAACACATCCTAAGTTGACAACCAATAAAGAAAGCCGTATAAAAAGACTTTAAAAAAGCTTAACACTTTTCTCACTTCAAAGAATATGTTTAATTGATCAAAGAAAGATGAACTGAACAAAAGAAAGTAATCGTGTAGATGTATGTTCTTTTCGGTAAAAGATTTTTACAAGTCACTCTAACTTTTATATGAAACAAAAACAAGTAATAGTAATCAAGAGTTTTTTCTTTCTTTCTTTCTTTAATATGTAAGATAAACTAAACACTAATAATTACAAAAAAAAAAGAAAAAATCAAGCCAATCTTTATCTCATACCCCTTTTCACAACATAAAAAAGTCATTTTATTTAAAAAAAGTTGACAAACCATCAATTTTTTCAAACAAAATGTATGTATGAGATATTATAAGAGTCTAAAACTTTGTATGATTTTTTTTAAAAAAAAAGTTAAATTGCAGAAGAAGAAAAACAAGATTTGAAATCAAAAAGTTTGAAGAAAATTAAACCGTTTTAATAATTGTAGTAGCAATATGATCTGACATTTGTTGTGGTGAAGTAGTTGCAGTAGTTGCACCACTAAGAACAGCTTTAAGTAAAGAAGTTGTAGAACTATAAAAAAAAAAACATCAAACAAGTCAAAACTTCAATCTTCATCACTCATTCAGAAAAAAAAAATCCCACTTACTCATTATCAACACCTACACCCCAAACAATTCTACCTTGTTGATCTTTTAATTCAAAGTAAGAAGCCGCTTTGGTTTCACTACCCGATCCAATTGAGTTTTCAGCATAAGTGACTACATCTAATAACATACCTGAATGATTTTTCAATGCATCAAGCATAGCACTAACTGGTCCATTTCCAACACCTGAAATCGTGACTTCAACTCCATTATCTTTAATATTCGCTTTAACAATCTTACGTGGAGTTGGATCTGATGATGTAGTTTTTTCAATCGAATTCGAAATCGAATAATCAATCAATTCATATCGTCCTTCATTTCCTTCTCCAAAATGATAAGCTGTTTGAAATGCTTTAGTGATATCTCCTACTGTCATTTCTCGACCTGTTCGATCTGCTAAGTCTTGTACGATCCCATAAAACGAAACTTGCATCTTTCTAGGTAAATCAAGTCCAAGTGATTCGAGTATAAGATAAGCCACACCTCCTTTACCAGATTGAGAATTGACTCTGATGACTGCTTCATAATCACATCCGATATCATGTGGATCGATGGGAAGATAAGGCATATTCCAAACCGATGGTCCTGAACTTGAGTTTTGTAATCCGAATCCTTTCTTAATAGCATCTTGATGAGATCCACTAAAAGCTGTAAAGACTAATTCACCAGAGTAAGGATGTCTTGGATGAACAGGTAAATCATTACATTCGGTCACCACATCTATTACGTTTTTGATATCACTAAAATCAAGTTGTGGTGAAAGTCCTTGTGAATACATATTTAATGCTACCGTTACTAAATCTACGTTTCCAGTTCGTTCTCCATTTCCAAATAAACATCCTTCTACTCGATCAGCTCCTGCTAATAAACCTAATTCTGTGGCTGCAACACCTGTTCCTCGATCATTATGAGTATGAAGACTGATATGACAATGTTCACGATCTGAAATATTTCGAATAAAGTACTCGATCTATCGGACAATTGCCAACACATACATTTTTTTCGAAAAAATACAAAGCATTAGAATTTCAAAACCAAGATTCTGATCAAAAAATCAACATGAAAGATTAGACTCACCTGATCTGCATAAACATTGGGTGTAGCCACTTCAACAGTAGCAGGTAAATTAAAAATAATCGGAGCCGAACTTTTCATATCTTTACCTTTAAACCAAGTCTCTTTAACCGCTTCACAAATCTCAACAGCAAATTCCGGTTCAGTTTGAGTAAAAGTTTCAGGTGAATATTCAAATTGCCATTTAGTTAAATCACCTCTAGAAATCGCTTGATCTGATAAATTTCTAACTAATTCAGTATGTTTAACAGCTAATTCAATCGTTTTAGATTTAGATGCTTGAAAAACGGTTTTTCGAAATAATGGTGATGTGGCATTATACATATGAAAGATCACATTCTTTCCATTTCGTACAGCTTCAAATGTTCTTTTAATTAAATCTTCTCTTGCTGGAGATAAAACCTAATGAAAATCATCAAAATTCAAAAATCTAATCAGAAAATCATATAAACTCAAACAAAAAAGGAAAAAATTAAATCTCTTACTTGAATTGCAACATCATCCGGTACAAATTTCTTTTCGATTGACATCTTTCTAACAAAATCAAAATCTGTATCACTAGCAGCCGGAAATCCAACTTCGATTTCTTTGAAACCACATTGAATAAGTAATTCAAAGAATTTAGTTTTTTGTGAAACGCTCATTGGATTCACAAGTGATTGATTTCCATCTCTTAAATCTACGGCACACCATCTTGGTGATTTTTCTATCGTTTTATTGGGCCATTGTCGATCTGGTAAATTTACAATTGAAGCTGGTTGATATTTTTCATATGGTTTCTATTTTTTTTGTACAATCAAAAATGGTGATGTAAAAAATCATCAGTTTTTTTATTTTGATTCGTTATTTGAATTAAATATTTCACTTACCTTTGTCATTTGAAGTCTAGAACATGATCCTTGAATCCTTCTCAAAGGAGTAGGTTTGAATGCTGATCTAATCATGATCACCCTACTGATCCACCTAAATCAAGTTTTCACTTTTTTTGGGTATCAAATCAGAAGATCTCTAGAATAAAAAAAAGGTAGGATAATCGTAAATCTTGATAATGGTTCTTGAAGATGAAGTTGACTGAAGAAAGAAGTTCGATTGGTTAAACTGAATAGGATGAAATGTTTGAGTCAAAAAAAAAAACAATTGAACAGTCGAACCCAAGAAATACAAAAAAAAAAAACTTGATGGCGTTTAAAATTTACACAACATACATCAGCTCCACATGTAATGTAAGGGCTCGCGTCTAGGGATCTGGAGAGCATAGCTCTAGGTTAGGGTCACTAGACTTTTAAGAGTGTTAAAACTACGTTAATAATTCGATAAAGAAAAAGGGAAAACAATGTGAAACACTACTACATATTTATATACATATAAAACTATTATTTTATCATTTCCAATCCTTAACATCTATCATTTTCAAATGTTTCTATTTCCTTTTCCTAAATCGTTATTTCCAACATAACTAGATTTTATTCTAAGTCTTATTACATATTTTATTCTTAAGTTCGTTTACATATTTGAGTTTATTACAATAATAATTGCCGTCTATCCTAAAGAAATCCCAACGCCGCTTGATAACCCATTGAAAATCGAGAATCTAAAAGCGTATTTGGGCAAGGAAATTGTGTGTATTTAGCGTGAAAATTTGATATAAACAAATCTAAATCTGAAGAAATATCTGGAAGGGAAACCCAAGTATCATCAGACACTGGTCTTCCCAACCACCTTATCAAGTACTCCGGAGGCGCTTTTCCTCTCTTTCTATAGTCCAGGATTCCAGAAACGTGCCTCCAGTCATGTGTTTTTGATACGGGTTTATTTTGAATTTTGAGTATTGAGTCTCGACCTCCTACTGAAGGAGGAACATAAGGCGTGATGAGAGAAATATTAAACACAGGATGTAATCTGGAATAAGAACTCCCCAAATTTAATTTCACTGCGTTTCGTCCAACCATATGTAACACAGGAAATGGACCAATTCTGCGATAATCGAGTTTAGAAGAGGGTCTGGCTGAGGTTATATTCTGTCTTGATAACCAAACTAGATCTCCAGGAGAGTAAGTTGGAGCCGGCCGCCGATGTTTATTATATTGATCAGCCTGTGCCTGCTTTGCATGTTGTAAAGATAAAAGTAAATTTAATTGATCTGCCTCTAATTGTTCTACGAATTTGTCCGCATGCGGGACTCTTGAGAATTCCGTAAAACTATTCGCACGAGGATGAAAACCTTGCCAAGCAAAAAAAGGGGTGAGTTTCGAAGATGTTGACACAGTGTTATTAAAACAAAACTCAGCCATTGGTAGCAAATCCACCCAATCATCCTGCCTATAGCTAATGAAATGTCGAAGATAAGATTCCAAAGTCTGATTGGTCCTTTCCGTCTGTCCATTCGTTTGTGGATGAAAGGCAGTTGAGGGAGCCGGCTGGATTCGTAATTGTCGTTGAACAGCGGTCCAAAACGCCGAAACAAATGTCGAACCTCTGTCTGAAATGATTTTATCAGGATACCCATGATAGCGAAAAAATTGAGAAACAAATAAAGAAGCCAATTGCGGAGCGCTCATCGATTCCCTACATGGAATAAAATGAGCGCCTTTAGTGAAATAATCCGTGATAACCAAAATAGAGTCACAATTAGAAGACAAAGGTAGTTTAACAATAAAATCCATCCCTATCGTGCTCCATGGACGATCAGGGGTTGATGAAGGAATCAGTTCTCCCTGCTGATTATGAGTTGACCTTTTCGTCCTCTGACAAGAGTCACAGCTGCGAACGAATTCAATAACATCTTTTCTGAGCGTCTTCCATCCAAAGGTCCTGGTGATTGCATTTATCATATGTGCAGTGCCAGGATGCCCCATGGACGGCAAATCATGAAACGCAGATAATATTTTCTGTCGCAGAGGAAGAGGTACAAATAACCTGTCACGGAACCACCATAAACCACCACGAAAAGTGAAAAAAGGAGGGGGGGGCTTAGAGCCATCAATGCCTTCATAGTCTTTATAAGAATTTATAAGAAGGTCACGCGTCTGAGAAGAAGGAATAATGAAAGTGGTGTCGATTGAGCAAACCAAGACTCCATCCTTTATCATATAGGGTTTCAATAGAGTCATACGGTTTAAATTGTGAGAAGTAACTTCGAAATCAGATCTTCGTGATAGTGGATCTGCCGGATTCAGTTTACCCGGTGTGTGAAGTATTTGAAAATGAAAAGAACTTAAATATGAAGCCCAACGTGCTTGTCGCGGTGTTAACTTCTGAGAAGTCATGAAATATCGAAGATTTGCATGATCAGAAAACACGGTGACAGGTGTTGGAGTACCTGTCAACCAAGCACGCCATTCTTCAAAAGACTCCACGATAATCCCCAATTCCTGATCATGTACCTGCCAGTTGCGTTCCGCCGGGGTTAATTTACGTGAAAAAAAAGATACAGGTAGCAAATTACCTTCCCCATCAGGCTGAGAAAGGATAGCAGCCATAGCAAAACCAGAGCAATCCACCTGTAAAGAACGAGGTTTGTCAAAATCAAAATGGCAAAGTAGCGGAGCGACTGTAAAAGCATGTAATAATTTTTTGAAAGAAGAGAAACACTCAGGAGCGGCTAATCCAGCCACGACGTCAACATCCTTCTGAGTTAAAGATGTAAGGGGAGAAGCTAAAGCAGAAAACTGATGAATAAAACGTCGGTAAAAGTTTGTGAAACCTAGAAACCTATAAAGTTGCTTAGAATTCACAGGATAAGGCCAATCAGTAATAGTTTTCAATTTGGCAGGATCCATTCGTAACCCGCTACTTGAAATCACAAAACCTAAAAAGATAACTTCTGTTTGATAAAATTGGCATTTCTCAGGTGATATATTCAGCTTGTGGAGTTGTAACTTGCTTAAAACATCAGTAATATGTTTTTCATGGTCCTGTCGTGTTTTAGAAAAAATCAAAATATCGTCAATGTATACAAAGCAAAAAATACCTAAAAATTCGGACAAGACAGATTGAATAAAACGTTGAAAAACAGCAGGACCATTAGCCAAACCAAAAGGCATAACTAAACATTCAAATAATCCCCAAGGAGTCCTAAAAGCCGTTTTCCATTCATCTCCTTCTCTTATTCTGATAAAATTGAAAGCTGATTTTAAATCTAATTTAGTAAAAAATTTACAACCTGAAACTCTGGTCAACAAATCCCCTAACAAAGGAATGGGAAAAGAGTCATGAATGGTTATGGAATTTAAAGATCTATAGTCCACACATGGCCTATTCTTCTTCCCCGGTACCTTCACAAAAAAAATCGGAGATGCAGCTTGAGACGATGAATGCCTAATGTTACCCTTCTCCAGCTGACCATCAATCCAATCCTTCAATTCCACCTCATCCGTCTTCGAAATTAAATAAGATCCACCATAAGTGGGTACTGCTCCGTCCTTCAGATTTATTGCCATATCAAATCCAGGTCGGTGAGGAGGTAAACTCGATGAAGCCTGTTGTTCAAACACATCAGCAAACCGTTGAAATTCAACAGGAATTGACTGTATGAAAGAATGTGAAAGAGGATGGATAACAGTAGAAGAAGATAAAAATTTTGAAGACAAGGTAGATAAATATTTACCAGTTAATTGCGGGAAATCATCATTAACTGGGGACTCCAATCGAAGAGATGGTCCACAACCCCCTACCCATCCTTGGTGACATCGTAACCAATCCATTCCAAGAATTAAGTCATAACCACCAAGAACAGTAACATCTAATTTGATGTTTGAGTTAAAAAGTTGTTGAGATGTATCAGAGATAGATAAGCCGCCTTGCCAAAAATGCGTCACAAGACCGTCTTTTCCCGTGGATCCATCAAAAGTGACACACTTCAAAGGAAATTGGCGAGGTGCGATTTGAAAATTATGTTTTTGAACAAATGATTTATTCAAGAAACTTCCGGAGGCGCCAGAGTCGACGAGCACTTTAGCCGAAAAAGTCACACCATTTTCCACCAGATTAACTGACAAAATAAGGCGTGAGTCGGAGATTGAGGAGTTGTTAAAATGAATAGCTGAGATTGACGTCTTGTCCACCGTATCCGTGACATTAGTAGGACTAGCTGAATCATCAATACCGTCATTAGTAGGATTGAACATAGGTCGTGCATCAAAAGAGAAATTTTGAGACAAATTTTGAGAGTTATCGTAATAGGTAGGCTGGTCGATATTTTGATATTCGGAGAATAAAGCCGCTACCTGCTGGGTAGGATCCGTAACGCCCAAAGCCGGAGGCATTCCCATTGCAACAGGTAATCCTGGATGGTGAAGAGGAGTGACACCCTGAGTCGGTGGGCCAAACTGAAAAGGTTGCATATGAGGAGGTTGGTGATAAATCGGAGCCATCATCGGTACTTGATAAAATCCAGATGAAACATTAGGAGCATGCTGTAACGCATGTGAGAATTGTTGATTAGGGACTTGAACCGAATGAGCTTGTTGTCGTTGAACTCGCGCAGCAGGAAATCGATGAGGTGATGAAGATACAGCCGCTACTACGTTCGGTCGACTTTGATTATGTTGCATAAATGATTTGATTTCTTGAGTAGTCTTCGGAGGTGGATTAGGACAAGGGATACTCCTTCCATCCGGTCCTTTGTGCGTCGAGTCGTAAGCTCTCAAACATTTATGACACATCGTACGCGCATGACAGAACTTGATAAAGGATCCAAAAGAAACTCCATTAGGTAAAGGAGGAAAAACTCTACGCGAATCTGCCGCATTGACATCAACGTCCATAGCATTCGGGTCGCGAGGTACTTGGACAATAGGAGGTGAGGACGCCGCACGTTGCATAACATTGGATTGTCCTAGAGAAGCATTGTTAGCACTAACATGCATGACTTGCTCAGATGCCAATAAAGCTACCGCTTGTCGATCTTCCACAGTAGAGCACTTAAACCAATCCGGATGTTTTAACGCCCGATCCTTAACATCAGGACGCAAACCTGAGGTAAAAAGATTTTTCAGGACGACACCAGAGAGTTGTAATTGAAAAGCCATCGAGTTGAATCTAGAGATGAACTGGCTAACTGGTAATTTGCCTTGCTTAAATGACTGCAACTCCAAAAATAAGCGCTCTTCCGCGAACTTATCACCAAACTTATTCAAAAATTCTTTAAAAAACTTTGACAATGAACTTAACGTATCAATAGTAAAAGGAGTTGGAATGATAGAGAATTCATCGGCATCTGATACACCGTTTTCTCGATCGTTGAGCCGCAATAAGCTCATCCACCAATCGTGAGGGCCAGAAGCAATAGGAAAATGTTTAGATACCCAAGTGATTCGTCGGTCGTCTGAAGCAAAACTTGCCGAATTTGCAAATAATGAATCTCGAACTATACCGACAAATCCCGGAACTTTGCGAGGATCGGAACCATCAAAAGTAACACCAGGAAGGACTTGAGGTTCTTGAGGACTTTGAGTAACAGTGATTGCTGGTAAATTAAGCTTAAAAGATTTGAGCTCGTCATCTAATACATTCAAACAGTCTCTCTTTGTTTTAGCAAATCCGTCACTTAAACCGTCATTAATTTTCTGTTCTAAACCTTGCAGAGAAAATTTATCCTTAAATTCATTACGAATAGTAGTTAGAACATCCGCTTTTACCTGAATCATTGAAGTTTTGAGTAGAGCCTCGATAGATGCAGATGCTGTGTTGTTTCGTTGATCAATTAAAGCGTTGACATTGGTGTTAAAGGTTTCAAGACGTTGATCAATTAAGGAGTTGACATTGTTATTGAATGTTTCGAAACGTGGTTCTAAATATCGAGAAACAAATTGTTGTTCTTGAGATGAAAGGACATATAACGGAGCCGGATTTGGGTTAGGATTTGAGGTTGGATGAGACATGATCAATAAATGTAGAAAAAATATCGATGACAAATGCAACACAAATTGTAAGTGAAAAAGATAAATTCTTAAAGCTTTAAAATAGGATCGCACTATTTGGCGACCGGTCGGGTTTAACCCGACGCCCGCTTTTTTCGGTACAATACCCGCAACTATAAGAGTTTACCCGGTCCGCCCCAGCCAAATTTCCCCGCAGCCGCAGCGATGCGGGCGCCAAATAAAGGCCAAATGGTAACCGGGCTGAGGGTTACGATAACTGGGCTCCGGTCAAACCGGGCATATGATTTCACCCTCCCTCCATCATCCAAACCGGGCTGTGACGACGACCACCCTCACCTCTTCCCATATCTACCCTCCCTCTCTCTCTCTCTCTCAACTGGACTTTAGGTACGATCGAAGCGTCCAGCTCTTCTCCTTCTGGACGGAATCCATCCATTATGCGACGCCTCAATATGGTAAGTGGTGTTTCACCTTGCGTCTTTTTTCACTCCTCTCCTCTCCTCTCCTCTCGCTCGATATGTCCTTCTCCTTCTTCCTTCTCTCATTCCACACTGACTGACACCCACCCTTCCCTTCACGTCCTTAGTCGAACGTCGAGGTCTGGCTCCCCCCTGAAGAACTTTTATTCTACCTTCGCTCTCATCACATCTCTCATATCTTCATTATCATGACCAACAATCAGGAAGCATCATCACTTGCTTCCAAAGGCACTACACAACCGTACTTACCACCCTTCGCTGGGAACTCACCATTCCCACATCCCTACATGTATCCGCCTCATGGGTATTGGTCTACCCCCACACCATCTCTTCCTTTCACGTACCCTGGAAACCTCATTCCCACCTTACCCAACGATCTCGATCCCAAGGACCCAATCAGTTACCCCTACATGGACCCCCCATACCCGATGTACGGATATCATCAGTCATCTCCATTTCCTTCTCAACCACCTCAACCTACGCCACCTCACGGATATCCTCACCCTGGATATCGTCAACCACCGACTACGTCTTCTCAAACTCAACCTTCTCTTCCCCAGCCCAACGTGATTGACTCACGCCAACCGAAGCAAACAGTTCCTTCCATTGTCACCCCATCTAGTGATTTAATCAACTCGCAAACCTCAACTTCATCGATTCGAACGATTCCCGATGGGCCAGCCAACATCACGGATGTTCAGGATTCCGCCGAAGACGAATTCGACGACGATGAGTTGCTTGAAGATCTTCAAAATGAGCGCGATGAGGACTGGCCCGAAATAGGTCAGTATCTTCATCTTGCCGTGTGTACCGTGTGTGTTTTAAAAAAATAGATGAACTGACTCGCCTGAATGTTGGCCTTCTCTTTTGGATGCTTACGAATAGGCGTTGAACCGGTCAAGACCATGCTCTCACCAGTATTTGGCAAGGAGTTCAAAGGCATGGTCAGTGGAATGATGTACATCAACGCGGTGGCTCGTCATCAAGGATATGGTCTTGCGATCAAAAGTCACAAGACCGAAAAGCACCAAAAGGTTAGAACCTACTTTCGATGCTCGCTGGGACGGCCGGTCAACTCAGTGGCCACGGTTAGAGCTAGTTCGACCAAAATGACAGATTGTCCATACGAGGTGTCACTTAACTACCACTCTCGAATAGACCGATGGGTTGTTCAGCGTGACCCCAAAAACTCGGCCAAGCATGAACACAATCATCCGGCTTTCGATAAACCTAACAACTTTTCCAAAAATTGTCAGTTCAGTGCCGAAATCCTACGTCAGATGGAACTCTTAGCATCAGCTGGTTGTCGAGCAGCTCAGATACGAGCACTACTCCAATTCGAACCTGGATCCGAGCCGTTAGTGCGCGACATTCGTAATGCCCTCTCTCGTCAACGGGACGTCTGGCTCGCTGGACGGTCACCCATCCAAGGATTGTTCGATTTGATCACGGATCATAAATGGGCCTTTCGCACGACTACCTCCCCAGATGGAACTCTCCAATCGCTGTTTATGGCCCACCCTAAAGGCATCGAAATGGCACGGCGGTTTCCTACAGTCATAGGCCTGGATTGCACTTATAAGACCAATCGATTCAACCTACCGCTACTTCATATCGTCGGCACCACCAACACGCACAAGACCTTCACGGTGGCGCTCTGCTTCATGCACAACGAAGTCGAAGAACGGTACGTTTGGGCATTGGAACAACTTAAGTCAATTGTATTCAACGGCGATTCCGAAGACAGTCCTTTTCCGCTCCCCAAGACCTTCTGCACGGACGCCGAGCCAGCATTATTCAATGCTATTAGTAAAGTGTTTCCTCAATCGACTCACCTACTGTGTATATGGCACATTAACCATAATATCGCGAAACAATGCAAGAAGAAGATGAAGAAGGAAGATTGGGAAGAATTCATGAAGGTATGGAACTGCTTCATCCAAAGCACCACGGTTGAAGATTACGACAAGAATCTCGAAACTGTCAAGACTTTAGCCCGTCGTCACCACATCTTGGATCATCTCGAAAAGTCATGGCTCCACAGGACCAAGAAGTTTGTTTCTCTCTTTACTTCGCAAACGCCGCACTTTGGAAACTCTTTGACTTCACGGATCGAGGGAGGTCATCATTGGTTGAAAAACTTCCTCGACAGTAGCAATAATGATTTCATCACTTGCTTCAAGGCGTTCAAACAGGCAGGCGACACTCAGTACATGGAGATATCAACTTTGACCGGTGTTGAAAGTCAAAAGACCCTCCTCGGCCTACCAATGGCGTTTCGTGAATTGAATGGGGTCATTTCCCACTACGCCCTCAAGAAATTGAAGGAACAATACGAGCTGATTCCTAACTCCGTCAACCGGCAGTGTACAAAGACATTTCGAGGCGCTTGGGGGTTGCCGTGCTCTCACGAGCTGGCTGGAGCTCTTGTCGAATCTGACTACATACCGCCTGATTTGATCCACCATCAGTGGCATTTGTCGTTAGTTGCACCTCCGGCCAATCTCGAAGATCTCAAGAAAGCTGTCAGATGTCGGGTAGACCAAATCGTCGCACTCGATGAGCACTCTCTCCGCAAAATCTACGAAGACCTGGCGAAAATCAAAACAGGCCGATACGCTCTTGTGCCGATCGAAAATGCCCAAGTCAAGTTGCAGAATCGTGGACGACCTCGCCATGCTACAAACAAACGGGTTGGTCCCTCTCAAGAGAAAGGCCGCTGGAAGTCCAATATGGAGTTTGAGGAGAAGGAAGAGGCCGAACGATCAGCCAAAAAAACTCGCATGGCCAATCCCTGTTGTGGAGGTTGCTCAAAGCAAGGCCACCACATCAATACTTGCCCGCTCCGATTAACTGAGGAAGAAAAAGGCCTCGACAATGATGTGTCAGAAGAAGATCCAGCTCAAGCGTATCTAACTCAGGATTCATCTATTAAGGATATCGACGTTCCTCAAATCCCAGCAGCTGGCCCTTTGGAAATCAACGCTCCTCCTCCAATTGCAGCGGTTGCCGAATTGGAGTCAGAATTAAGTTCTCAAGTTCAATTTAAATTACCATCTGAAGCGCCTCATGTCAACAAATCACAACCTTCATCACGTAACGTTTTGAATCTCACTGAAGATGACACCAGTGCTTTTAGTCATAGTCAACTTACCAAAGGTAGTCAACTTAGTCAACGTCAACTCATTTCACCACCTTCTCAAACCACTGTTGGAGTATTGACTTCACAAGTCTCTCAACCTTCGAATTCCACTGTTGTCAAACGTGTGTATAGATGCAGCATATGCAAACAGACGAAGCATCGGGCCAATCAGTGCCCCAATCGCCCAGCATTGCAGGTCACCCCTAGAGCAGAGCCCAACGCACCTGGCCCAACTGTGGCAGTGATCGTGGAAGAACACGTGTCTGATTCTGATGCTAGTAGTGTAGAATCAGCAAACGACGACAACTTGTGTGTATACTGCGAGGATCCCTTTCCGTCAAATCCTTCGACCAAACTCCAGGCCCTTCAAGCGACGCTACTGGCATTACCTAACGCTATGACGTTACCAGTGAGTGGTCTGAATCTATGCTAATGAGATGTTTGGGATGTTGCTGAAGAAAAGGTTTCGGTGGTTGTAGTTTCCGCAAACGGCTGAATTTTGCGCGCTTCATCGGGCTGAGCGCGATGTCATCCCTTTTGGAAAGCAAGAGGGATGGCCTTCCGAAATCGACTTTGAAATTTTACCTAAGTGAGCCGCACCGCCAGTACCTCTTCCTAGTTGCACTGCACTTGTTGACTATTTATATTTATTTTTCACTAACAGGCGGATCGAAAAACATGAGAGTTATCTTTCGGATATTATTGTTAAAGCTAAACCTTCATCTTTCCTCGACGCGGCTCAAAGCAAGTGGACAAAACAAGGACGACACATGTTTAGTATGGAGGGAGAATTCGATGGTTTTGAGGTTGAACAACTGGGCTAGTAAGTTGTCCATTTGATGAATGAAATGTCAAGCCAAAACTGACCGTGAAACTCACCTTGTAGTTATGGGCCAAAAGGTTTTGAGATCATGATTGAAACTCTGACTCAAAAGCTGCTGTATGGACCGTCAATATTGCTGGACGACACCAAAACTGCTCCTTTTTCCCCCGATTACTTCATGCGGCGAATACTGGTCCCTGAACTTGCCCTGTTGCTTATCGCCGAGGACCTGAAGCTGCCTATCAGTGATTCCAAGGTCAGGAAGACACTGGAATCTAGTCGAGAATTCGGCACCGCGGTTTTCCCAGGTCAAGGCGACAGCACGGATCAACCGTCCATGCGTGCTTGCGAGAAAAGCGCACTCAATTCTCCCGAGGACCAACTGGTTTTACGGCAGCTGCCCAATGTAATTGTGCCGTATATCACGTCCATTTTTGATCCGCCACCCTTTGGCAATTGCGGGTATTATGCAGTAGCGGCGTCTGTTGGGTTTTTTTCTGCAGACTCGTATTTGCAAGTCAGGACTCAATTAAAGAACGAAATTTCAAAACATGCTAAAGATCACGCGAATTTGATATGCGCCCCTCCAAAGAAGATGAGAACACGAAAAACCTTGTCATTTGGCGACGAAGTGGTCCAGGATATGTTGTTTCGACTGGATTTCAAAGGAGTCAAGTGCTCTGTTGAGTATTGGATGCGAATGCCTTACATGGGGTATGCCATAGCGAGTGCTTACAACCGTCCTACCATTCTTTTGGATCCGCAGTCGACCAACTGCAATACATTTTTCCCTTATCGCACATTACCCCAAGAAAGCAAGCATGAGGATCCCATTGTCCTTGGGTTTGTCAATCAGGAGCATTTTGTGAGTTTGGCGGTCAAAGGCTCCCGTCCCCTGCCGTTTCCGGGGGTTTTTGGGAGGACTCGCAACACAGCTATGCTTGACGCTACCACGATACCTGCTTGGATCAAGCATTATGAAGATCATCTAGGTAGGTGGATCAAATGAATGAACAAACAATCAAATATCAACTTATTGAATGGAACGAGTAAAAACATGTATGCTTTTGGTTATTTGTTTTTGTATGCTTTTTATTGGTTTTGTGAGATGATCTCTTTGAACTTGGAAGCAAATACACTTGTTGGTAAAAAACGATTTTGGATTTGTAATCTTCTCGCGCTGCTCATCCTTCTTTCTATCATATTTTTGCTGCTGTTAGTGGTTTATCACACACGACCCTTATAATTATATGCTCGCTGTTTTGTGTTGTGAACGCTGGTGGGCTTTGCCTTTACATCATACACGTTTTTTTTGTCTTGATGTTGCCACAAAGGGAATACAAGGAATACAAGGTTATTATGATACATGTTTGTTTAATTAATTGTGAGCCGTGAATGAGTGAGCGTGAGTACAAGACGACGAGCTTGAGTGAGAATGAATTGGATAGAATTCCATTTTCACATTAATTTCACCAAATGTCAAACCGGGCGGTTTGCAAAGAGGGCGACAAGCCCGCTATCCGAATCAGGGCGTCGGGTCAACAAAACCGGTCGCCAAATAGTGCGATCCTTAAAATATCCTTCTGAAATCTTATAAAATGATAGATTAAAAGGTGCCAGTATGTAAGAGACCCAGAGTTTAAAAAATGAAAGGAACCACCACACACACGAAGATACGATAATGACGTAATAACAAAGCCACATAATTAGCGGAATTACCACCTCAAGCATTGTGAACATAAAAATCCTCAAACTTTTTAACAATGATTTATACACATAAAACAATAAAAAATATAAACACATATATGAAAATACTTTATACACATTCAATTCGTAGTTATAAAGAATGCAATAAACACAAATACTTATAAACGAAA